TAACCTACATTCTCAGAACCTCCTCATGACAATAATCACTGGTAACAGTTTGGTGAATCTGCTTCCAAACTTTTATCCATGTGTATGTTCACATGTATGTTAAGGTGTTTCAAAATAGAAATGGCAATCTATCAAGCATGTATTCTACAGTTTCCTTCACTACCCCTCTTTCCTCTGGCTATATTTCTTGGATAGCTCATGTAGATGTAGCTTATCCTTTTTTAAGTCATTGCTATTTTATTTAACCAATCTCAAACAAAATATTTACTTTTCCCAACTTTTTAATATCTTTACCACCCTTTCTTTCCTGATTTGACCTCTGTTACAGCCCCAATCTCTCTCCTTTGTCTTCCAATCAACACATCTGTAAAAAACTTTCTGTAGGGAAAAGGCTACAAATTTTACAGGCACCTGCTCACGGCAGTTAGTTCTAGGAGAAGGTTCAGCAGCTTGTCCCACTGGTTGTACAGCATTTTCAAGGGTAAATTTCCAAAGGGCCCCTCCCTGATACTTACCTAGTGAGTGGAGGCATTCTCTGGGGACCCTTCTACTTGGGAGTATGAACAGCACCAGCCATAGGTTCACCCAAGAATTCTTTCCTTCCTCATCTTCCAAAATTTGTTACTCTTTCAAACTCATTTCAAGTCATGTCAAGCACATCCTGGGCACTCTGACAGAGCTTCTCTTATTAAATTTCCATTGTAATCCTGTGAAATAGGTGTTATTCTTCCTTTTTGTATATTTGGGAAACTGGCTCCTAGAGGTCAAGTGACTTGGCCAAGCGACAGAGGTGGCTGATGAGGTTCTTTCTCCATCACCAGGAGGCCGATATAGCAAGGTAATAGATGTAGCTAAGGTTTTATGAGCCATCTGGGCAGCAGTCGTTACCATATAGACTAAGGGATCCACTCAGAGGCAACAGAAGCGGCAACAGTTTTTGTTTTTGTTTTAATGGTTTAAAAATCCTACAGGAATTCTGATTGGCCCCACTGACAAACCATGAGGCCCAGAGGCCCACCAGCAGGCTGACTCCTGACCTTCCATGCTTCTCACCCTAATTAATGCAAGGTCCTTGAATCACAGTGTGAGCATCAAGACCCTGATAGGTTAGCAATGACCTTTACATCTATCAGGCTTTTCAGAATATGTAAAACAGCTGTGCTTTGGGAATGCCCTCAAACTCTCAAACCTTGAAATACGGTAGATACATTTTTCCCAATTACAGAGCTTTTTTTTTTAAACCAATTTTTTTAGGAAATGACTTTTTACATGGCTAAAAAAATATTTTGAGATATGCTTTTTTTAATAGAAAAACTATTGCTACATGCAAAAAGAATATTCTTATAAAAATACTGATTTCCTTGGCTTAAAAAGAAATCCCAGTAACAGGGAAGCAGAGAAAAAAAAATGATCTGAAAAAATTTGGTGGGGGTGGAGGGTGGAGTAGGGGACTATTTGGCTTCCATACTTGGGCCTCTGATACCCTTTTGTTCTCCCACCTCATTGTATTAAGGATGCTAAATCAAACATGATTGCAGTGATGTTTGTGTGTGAAAATGACAAAAGCAATGGGCCAAAATCCCAACCTCATCTTGAACCCTGAAGACTTTTATGGCTTTTCCTTCACTAGGCCCTCCCCCTAACACACATTAAAGACCACATTGTTCCAAAGGGTCATGGTAGGTTTCATACCCCATTTTAATACAATATGGCAACTAAACTTCTAAGTTTTGGTAGCAATATTTGTAAGTCTCTAGAAAGTGCCCATTAAAAGAAATGGTCTTTTAAATATTGATACAGAATTACAATGTATCAGAGAGGCAGAAATAATGCTATCAAGGAGGCAGTATGTGTGGTGATAAAATTGAATATCCTTTTTATTTCTCCTTCTCTCCCAAAAAAGTATGGATTAGAGATTTGTATGTCTGTAAGTCATATTATGCTCCCCAATGGTTTATGCCTCGTATTCCTAGAAGATTTCAAATTGGGAGAAAAATATTAGAGGCTGTTTATGATTCCATTTTTCTCAGCTGTTACCATCAGTTGTCACCAATACTTTGGAGATTTGTTTAGTGAGAAAGAGGCAGCAATGACTCCATTATTCTTTCCTTGGCCATAGCAATTTGCATCATAAAAGTACCTAGTGAATTATTGCCTTAGTACTCTGTAAAAGGATACAGTAAGACAGAAATGTTACAGTTAGGTCTGAGAAAAGAAAATTTGAAAAATGAAAATCTGGGCTGGAGTAAAAGAACAAGGAATTTGCACTGCTTTCAGGAGCACAATTTCATCGGTGGAACTGCTCACAAGCTCAGGTAATTCTAATGCCTGCACAATATACCATAAGATGTGCTTTTAATATCACAATGGCAACGTGATATCACACTGGCAATGCATTTAAAAATCTTTGGGTTTTGAAGATTTCTTGACTGCAAGACTGGTTTAAACGATCTCAAAATAACACACTAAGAACATCTGTTTAGCTCAGTTGAAGTTTCAAGAGCCAATACCAGCTGTTGGGGGTGGGATTTCACACATGTGTTATTCAAATCCTAACCAAATCTTGTTTTTTTTCATTTCCTTAATGATGTCTCCAAAAGCCAATAGCGTAAAGCAAATGTTAAAATATAAAAGAAAAGAGGGAGGGAGGAAGGGACGGAAGGAGGAAGGGAAGATGGATGGAAGGAAGGAAGGGGGAGGGAGAAAGAACGTGGAGTTCCAGAGAGCAAGCGCTGGAGCCTCACAGAGGCAGAAAGATTACTCAATCCTTTGATTCATGTGACCAAGACCAAAATGATCACTCTCCAATTCAATACAGTATTAGCATGAGGACAAAAGGCATTTAAAAATCAATTTGGAATTATTTCTAGAGGGGGCTGCCTAATCTTTGCAAGTTGAGGGAGTGAGAATATTCTCAAATGTTGAAAGAACACTCAAGTTGTTTTTACTCCTTTTAAGGAGCAACCTAATTTTCACAGGGAATTCATTCAGTGGCATTGTTTTGGTTTTAGGTGTCTGTCCTGCCAGGCAGGGGCCATGCACAAGGGCTGCATCTATCTTGAAGTGTGCACAATGGCTTCTCTTGCGGCTCTCTCTGTTATTGATCCTTACAGATGCTCCAAAGCCCTTCCCCCACCTTTCTCCAGATCCCAACCCCCCATTCTGAAAGATAGCTTAAGAAATAAGACTTCCTGCCTAGCGACTGGCAGGCCTGAAAGACCAGATTGTAGACTCCACAGATCAGGCCTGCCACAGTGAAAGCTTGAATAGAGTTAACCCTCTGTGAACTAAAACAAAACATTTGTATGCCCAGCTGTGACAAAGGTTAATTTAAATGGACAAGGGCCCAATATCTAAAACCAGGCAACTTTTTTTTTTTTTTTTTTTACAGTAGCATTTTTACTGACCTCTTTTGTAAGCAGTTGATTTTGCTTTTAAGCTTCCAAGGACCTCCTTCTGCTGGTATAATTAATTTTGCTTTACTACAATTTGTATGTAAGATTCAGGTGAAAAATTTTAAATTTATGTCCTTATTTCATGAAAATTCCTGTTTTAGTAGAAAAATACTTAAATTAAAAATGAACTGGGGGAGACTTTTTTTTGCTAACCTGTTTCCTCTTTCAGAACTGGTGGCCTACCTAACACTAAGAGATTCAAGCTGGTTGAACAAAATATAAATCCTCCCAAGTTATCTCTTCCAAACTCACAAAACTACTGCTCTAGTACCTCTGTTCACCCCTAAACTCCTTTCCAAAAGATCCAAAGCCAATCTTATCACTAAAGCTTCTACTTTCTGGAAAAGCTGGTATATCAGGGATAGTTTAACAAAGAATTTCTGCACATATCAGGAAAAGCAAAAGATGAAAATAACAGGTCTTAAATGGACAATTTCTGCAAACTTTCTCACAACTTAAAATTGAGGTAATTAAAAGTGAGGTAATTTTGGCATATAAGGTGCTAGGAGACAACATAACCGGGAGAAGGAAAGTCATTGTTACTACAGAGAAGAATGCTATTCGAAGAGGCAGCCCCACTTTCCTGGTTTGTGCTTCCCCAGAGTGAGAATGAAACTGCAAAGCTGCCCATGGCAGATGTTAGCCATGCTGCCAAGGGGCTGGGAAGCTTTCCCAGGACTATTTCATAGGGTTAATGCCATTCCTAGAAATTTATCAACTGCTTCAAAGAGTCAGGAGCTCCTCTGGCTACAGCTCAGCAGCACTTCTGTAAAAAAGTCTTTATAACCTTGGACCCCAACTCTTGTATTTTATAAACACAGTGACTCTTTAATACTAGGATTCATCTTTTAGCTATTTCTTTCCTGGCTCAAATGATAAAGTTGGGGAATAATGTTGTTTCTATAATGTAGAAGTCTATTCCAAATAAACAAGTTAAAATAATCAGTCACATTATTGATTACACATACACACAGAAAATTTACTCATTTAAAAGACAATGTACTTAAAAGTTAGCAATGGCTTAGCCTTATACCCCAACTGTAAAATATGTTAAGTTCCTCCAGAGAGTATAAAGCTGCCTTATCAATGGCCTCATGACCCCAATTCTATCTATAATTAACAGTAGTAATTAAGGTTTTTGGTAGATGATGAACTGTATAAAGCAATTTAAAATAGAAACAAATTTTGTCAAGAAGTAAACAATTTTTAAATATAAATTTTACAATGTTCTGAAATGTAAAATAAAGTTTAAAAATTTTTAAATCACTGTAAAATTTAAATTCATTCCCCTCCCTTTTAAAAACATCAACCACAGCAATCAATTCAGTACAGTTCTCCCTTGCTTCTTTTCTCTCTTCTAAAGCATTTACAGCCAGTTACTACATATGTGAAAACTTGTTGGCTGAATTTTACCAAGACACAAAAAAAATCAGTTGTCGGTGAACTGCCTCCCTTCTCCTCAAAGCTATTATTTACTCTAAATCTTCAAAGAACATTTCTAAACCTTCGATTGGAGCCCCAGATTTAAATAACCAGTTCTCTCACCTTCCCATGTCTCCATTTCATGCTTCTCCGAGTCTGATGAGAAGCGCTATTGCAGCCATGAAGAAACAGAGATTACAGGACAAGTCCAGCTTGATGACCACCCTTCCGACACTTGGTCAATTTCTCTCTCTAAGCCTGGACTACGACTACGACAGTCATCCTAACAGGTCAGTTTACAAGCCAGTCATGTGATTACAAAGTTCAGGCTCTAAGGTCACAACGTGTATGGAGTTCGTTTATTACCAAAGGTTATCTAAGTGGAACTGATAGACTTATTTTCTTTAGTTAACAATACTGCCTAGCACATCTCTCTGAAAACTACTAAGGGAACATTTAAGGGAATTATTTCTACAGTTTTCAAACTGATATTTTAAAAGGCAGCATTTTAGAGGAACTTAATTTAAAAATGTTCTTAATATGTGAGGTTTGCTCCTGTTTTTTCAAGAGTTATTTTATACTATATTCTTTTATGTTATGGATTAGAAAATTTAGAACTAAAATCTTTAACCCAAGGAAAAAGCAAAACAAACTCTGTTAAGCATGTGGGGTCTTGGGGGGGGGGGCATGAGAGTGGAATTCCCTGCTTTTTGTCATTATAATAAACAATGACAAGGCAAATTCTTTTGAGAAAATTAAAACATGGGGTTATGAGTTATTCATAGGCTTACTTCAGCCCTTCATTTCCAAGCTCTGTACATATATACTAGTTTGAAACAATGTGGAGAAAGGAAACTAGGTTTGCAAAATCCTTTTAGACAACAAAAGTCAGAAATTTCAAATCCTGCCCCTACCCAGAAGCTTACATCTTCAAAGTAAACTTCTTGATATAGCTTCCTTGATTTGTGAACCATATCAGCAAAACAAAGCAGTGTGTTTAACACCAGGTATGCACATACATACACCTTGCCAGCTGCAAAGGCTGACAAATCTGAGTCATATGTCATTCAGCAATCCATTCCGATATCAGAATACAATAAAAGGGCAAATTTCAGAGAAGGTAGCAGGGTTCAAAGACAGACTGATTCCTGAAGATAACTGATTTTTTTTTCTATGCAAAATGTTTCATTCCATAAAATCTCCTTTGTCTCTAGCTTAGTACTGGAAAGAATTTAAAAAGCCCAGTTATACTTTTAAAGCAATATTCCAGAAAAAATAAGATCCTTTTTGGAGCTGGAGTAGAATGTTTCATTTGGCAGCCATGTAACTGAATTGCAAATATTGCTACTAAATAGAGACCATTAGGGCCACCTTACAAGTAGGACCTAAACAGAAAATGACTAATTACTTAGAAAAGGAGAAAAGCTTATGTGTCTGTCTAAAATAAATGCTCTACTACTGCCACCACATACCTTACCCCAACACAAACACAAATACAATGACCAGTTTTTCCATCCCAACCTAGAGAAGAAATTAAGCTTCTTCCTAGTCTCTAGCTCTTAAATAATTTTAGTACAGTGACTATACATAGAATGGGGGTGGGTACTGAAGGGCAAGGTCCACCCACTAAGAAGCTATTCAACTGGAAATACTTACTTTCAAAGGGCAGCTCTGTCTCCCTGAAGGATACGGATTTATCAGACTCAGTACCTGCACACAACAGAGTTGCAGTAATGCCTCTGTGCTTTATTCCACCAACCTCTGGATGCAAAGATGAAACAGACCAGGAGCTATTAGTTTGGCTCTTCATATCAAGATGGAAGCAGATACCTTGATTTTCAAGGTTAGGTATTACTAGTAATTCTTGATGCACTCATAAGCCTCAGAACAGAAGGTTTTTTTGACAGGCAGCGTTAGACAGTGAGAGAGAGAGAGACAAAGAGAAAGGTCTTCCTTCCGTTGGTTCACCCCCGAAATGGCCGCTATGGCCAGGAGCCAGGTGCATCCTCCTGGTCTCCCATGCAGGTGCAGGGCCCAAGCACTTGGGCCATCCTCCACTGCTTTCCTGGGCCACAGCAGAGACCTGGACTGGAAGGGCAACCAGAACAGAATCCAGCGTCCCAACCAGGACTAGAACCCGGGGAGCCAGTGCCGCTAGCCAAGTGAGCCGCAGCACTGGCCCAGAACAAATCTTTAACATCGTTTAACAACATAGTCTTATCTTCAAATACAGAGCAATATTTCTTCAGCATTTTTGTTTATTATTTATTTTTAAGATTTATTTATTTATTTGAAAGCAGAGTTACAGAGAAGCAGAGAAAGGGAGAGGCAGAGAGGCAGAGAGAGAGGCAGAGAGAGAGAGAGAGAGAGAGAGAAAGAAAAAAGAGAGGTCGGTCTTCTATCTGCGGGTTCACTCCCCAAATGGCCCCATAGGCTAGAGCCGGGCCGATCAGAAGCCAGGAGCCAGGAACTTCCTCCAGGTCTCCCATGCCAGTGCAGGAGCCCAAAGACCTGAGCTATCTTCTACTGCTTTCCCAGACCACAGCAGAGAACTGGATCAGAAGTGGAGCAGCCAGGACTCGAACTAGTGCCCATATGAGATGATGGCACTGCAGGAGGTAGCTTTTACCTGCTATGCTAGCACCTTCAGTTATTTTTTAAAACTTATTTTTTATTTATCTGAAAGGTTGAATGACAGAGAGAGAGAGAGAGAGAGAGAGAGAGAGAGATATCTTCCATCCACCAGTTCACTCCCTAAATGGATGTAATGGCTAGGATCAGGCCAGGCTGAAGCCAGAAGCCAGGAACTCCATCTGGGTCTCCCATGTGGGTGGCAGGAGTCCAAACACTGGGCTATTTTTTGCTGCTTTCCCAGGAGCATTAGCAGTGACAGCAGTGATGCCGGACTGAAAGCGGAACAGCCGGGATTTGAGTTGGTTCTCATATGGGAAGCTGGTGGCACCCTGACCTGCTGTGCCAAAATGATAGCCCCCAGCACTCTCAGTTTTCTGAGAACCTTTGATAGGCTTTACTGGGAGGAAGGTAGAAGAGAAGGCGAATATGCAACCTCCATTGTCTATGTGAATGTAAAAGGAAAATTCTAAATCTTAACCAGGGCACTCAGTAAGTGTGTAAAAAAAAAAAATCATTTAGAAAGATTAAAAGGAATCTTGGAATTTACAAGTAAGAAGGGGAATAAAGAAACTTAGCAATCAGTAACATTTTCTACTTGTTATGAGCTTCATAATGTAGAGAAGAGCAGATGTACAAAATTCTACATCCAATCATATGCAGCATTTGCATACTGTATATCTGAGTCCAAATGATGAATGGAAGAACCCTGGTTAACCAGCAAGACTCTGATTCCACTTAAACTTTTTTAATTTTGAAAAATTAATTTGTTTGAGAGGGAGAGTGAGAGATTGAGAGCACATACTCCCTCCACAGTTTGATGCCCCATATTGGGCCAAGTCAAAGCAGAGCAGGGAACTTAATCCGGGTCTCCAGTGTGGGTGGCAGGAACTCAATTACTTGGTCATCTCTGCTACCTTCCAAAGGCCAGAGTCAAGAGTCAGAGACAGTTATCATACCCAGAAACCCTGATATGGGACATGAGCATCTTAACCACTAGACTATATAACTGCTCCAACTTGGACTTCAAAGATGGAGAAACTGGGGTTCAAAAAAGAGGCAAGAGTTATTAAGGCCAATGATAAGAAACCCAAATACCCCAGTCCTTCATTTATTTCTTTATGCCACATTTCTTCAGGGACAGAATAAAGTAAAGCTTCTTTATTTTTTAAAAGTTTGTTTCTATTTATTTGAAAGAGTGACAGCGAGAGGGCAGGGAGAGAAAGAGATCTTCCATTTGCTGGTTCACTCCCCAAATGCCTGCAACAGCCAGGGCTGAGCCAGGATGAAGCTAGAAGCCCAGAATTCCATCTGAGTCTCCCAAATAGGAGGCAAGGACCTAAGTATCTGAGCCATCATCCGCTGCCTCCCAGGATGCATTAACAAGAAACTGGATTGGAAAGGGAGTAACCAAAACTCAAACTGGCACTCCAATTCAGGATCTGAGCATCCCAGTCACCTAAGCCTCTTTTTAAATGTTCTACTTGACACCATTTCCCATATGTTTGTTTATTCAAATTCCAGATTTCCAGGAGGACTGTAAATTTTGATGCTGAAGGGGGTATCAACATGCAACCTAAGTTTAGTCTTTTGATGTAAAACAAAAGATAGTAATTCTAGTAACCACACAGTAATCAGAATCATTTCAGCTTTATTATTGCTTGAAAGATTTATTTATTTGAAAGGCAGAGTTGAGAGAGAGAGAGAGACAGACAGACACATCTTCCACCTACTGGTTTACTTACCAGATGGCCGCAATGGACAGAACTCGGCCAGGATGAATTAAGGAGCTTTATCTACTTCTCCCGTGTGGGTGCAGGAGCTCAAAGACTTGGGCTATCTTCAGTAGCTTTTCCAGGCACATTAGCAGGGCACAGGATTAGAAATGGAGCAGCCAGGACAAAAACCAGCACCCATATGGAACACTGGCATTTCAGGTGGCAGCTTAACTCCCTACTCCACAATGTAGCCCTATTTGCATTTATAAAATTTTTAATGAAAGCCTGAGGCAAAGTAAAAGCCATATGACCACTCTCATGGAGGGGAGCCTCTCCATTTTAGAAAATCAGAAATATTCATGGGGCTGGCACTGAGGCACAGGGGACTAAACCACTGTTTGTGATGCTGGCAGCCCTTATTGGAGTTCTGGCTACCCCACTTCTGATCCATCTCCCTGCTAATGCACCCAGGAAAGCAGCAAAAGATGACCCCATTATTTGGGCCCCTGCTACTCACATGGGAGTTCCAGGCTCCTGGCTTTGACTGAACCAGTCCCAGTTGGAACAGCCATTCAGGAAATGAACCAGCAGATGGAAGGTTCTTTGCCTCTCTCTCTTACTCTGCCTTTCAAATAAACAAATAAATAAATCTTTTTTAACATAAGAAATATGCAGAAAATGGTTTTAACACATATGTCTATGTTTTTTGAGAGACAGAGACAGACATACAGAGAATTCCTATCCTCGCGTTTATTTCTCAAATGCCCACCAATGGCTGAGACTAGGACTGGGCCAGGCTGAAGCCAGGAGCTGGAAATTCAATTCAGATCTCCCACATGGGTGGCAGGGACTTGAACCATCACCTCCTGCCTCCCAAGTTCTGCATATGCAGGAAGCTAGAATTAGTAGTCAGAGCTGGGATTTGAACCCAGGTACTCTGATGTGCAACGCAGATGACCTAACAGGTGTCTTAACTACTGGGTCAAACACCCCAGAAAATGTTTCAAATTCCTTTTTAACCTTGCAAACATTAAAACAAAAACAAAACACAAGAGCCCAAGGTCTTCTGTTGTCATCTGTCAGATCGTCAGATTATCGACACAGATATTCCCTTTGGCAAGGAGAGAGTCAATTAAAGAAGAATAATGAAATCACAGTCAGATGAAGTTCATACCATCCAGGACTAACAGACTAACCTATTGAGTATAGAAAAAGATCAGGAGC